CCATTTTTTGAAACATGGTTAATACTGTGTAGCGAAAAAATATTTTAAATCAGTTAATTTATAATATTAATGCTCTGTAAATTAACATTAAACACTATGTAAAAATGTAAAAATAAAAATGTCAATAAGAACACCGGATTATATATCTTACTGTTCTTTCTTTATATATATATTTATATATATATATATATATATATATATATATAATAAAAAGGTTTAAACACTCATATTCCATGGTCATAATTTATTCCATTGGAATCGTAAATACGATCCAATTCATCAGACCTACAAATTCAAAAAGAAAACAGAAAAAACAACCCCGGAAATAAAAAATAGAATTTAGAGAGAGTGTAAGTATGAGAGTGGGAGACGAATGTTAGAGCTAAAGAGAGGGGTAACAGACGAGAGAAGGTGGGAGATTAAAACTTAACAGAGAGAAGTTTTAGAGAGGAGAGTCAAAGTGAGAGAAATATGAATGTTGTCGGATGTCTAATACGTTAAAGATGTAACCAGAAAGTATACATTTTGTGGTGACATACACACACAATAGACGATCTAATATTAAAGATCAGATGAAGAGGGAGGGAGAGGAAAAGAAAAGAAAAATGGGTGGGGGAGAGAGATGGGGCGTGGGAACTAAAACTAGAGGGCATTTATTAAAATGGCCGCTGTGTAATTAAGAAAATCTGACAAAATTAATATCGATTACAGGTTACATATTTACCACTAATATTTACCACAACATATTTACCACTAATATTATATATATATATATATATATATATATATATATATATATATATATATATATCATAGTATGCATAAGAAATATAGAAGTTTGCAAATTAATTACAGGCTGACTAACGACCAGATCGATTTACAAACCCCTGACGTAAGCCACTGTGGTCATAATTCGACTGCATATATATATATATATATATATATATATATATATATATATATATATAATTATCTATTTAAAAATATGATTCCAACACGCTACATAAGAGGTCTCATGTTTCAAAACAAGAGCCGAAAACTTCAATATAATTATTTGAATTAAATTGAATTAAAGTAAGCTCTGTTCCATTTTCAAGCGAAATTTTTTTTGGGAATACCTTTTTTGTTTTAATAGCATATTCATTATTGAAATCAAATTTTTCATGGTAACGGCCAAAGCGATTGTTTAAATAGTAGGCCTACATGAGAAACTACACATTATTAAGTTTCTAAATAATAAAAATCTATTAAACAATAGACATGAGTTAACGGTTTTTTGCCGACATCATCAAATTTTTACATTAAATAATTAGCATAAAAACAAACAAACAATAAAATATTTTTTATAATCCATAGCCCTAATAAATAGTTTAAATACCCTACAAAAAAGATAACTCTTTATGAAGTCGTCCAAAAACAAATGTTACGGCAGTTTTTTTTTATATACACAAAACCCTTTCAGAAAGATATAAAATAAAAAAATAAATAAATCTCCATAGACACGTAAAACAGACTAGGCGAAAACATCTTCCGTTTTAAATTTAGACACCCCCAACCTTACCCTGACTTGACATCTGTGAATGTAACTCTATACTGATACAAATTATTAACACCCAACACCCCCTCCTATTTAAACAATCGCTCTGACCGTTACCATAGGAATTTTGATTTCAATAATGAATATGCTATTAAAACACGTAAATTTCAGAAATAAGTTATTCCCAAGTTATTGTTTTGAAACATGAGACCTCTTATGTAGCGTGTTGGAATCATATTTTTAAATAAATAATTATATTTATGCTCTAGTTTTGTATCGAGCACTATTTTTTAAAAATAATAACAAAAATACTAAAGAACTTTGGATTATTTACCTCACGAGTTCTTTCCTATTTTTTATATATTTTCACACACACACACACACACACACACATACATATATATATATTAAGATTATTTATGAGTTCCAATTCCCCTTAAAAGACTCTGTTTCTGATCAAACCGAATTGATAGATACTTACAACGATCACGCTACTATATACCTACGTTACACCTATCCGACCACAGCTCCATGAGAACCCATTTAAAAACACGAACGAACATACTCCAATCCTAGACATAATAGTAGAAAATACAAACATAATAACCTCATTCACATGTAAATGATTAAAAATAAGGAAGAAAAATCCAACACTCAGTCATATTAACTACGAACACGGCCACAATGTGCTACCTGTGTTCGGAAAATAAAACATCCCTATAACTCTAGAAAATATACACAACACATACACCCAATTAAAAAGCAATAATAAAATCATCCTTGAAAATGGCTAAAATTATAGTCGAAATCGCTCGGAATTACAGAACATTTAGGCTGTTTCTACAAACTGTGTCCAGAAAAGAAAACACTTGTTCGAACACAAGAAAAATTTAATAAAAAGCTTCATCGCAGTACCTTGTCTATCATCTTTAATGAAACAATTATAAATGAATAATTGCTGCCTAAATACAATATATATATATATGTGTGTGTGTGTGTGTATGCTTGTGTCTGTATGTATGTGTGTGTGTGTCTGTGTGTGTGTGCAAATATATGGAAAAATATGAAAGAACCCTTAGGTTAACAATCCAAAGTTCTTTAGTATTTTTGTTTTTATTTTTAAAAAAACAATGCTCAATACATGATGAGAGCCAAAATTATAATTATTTCTTAAAAATATGATTCCACCGCAAAATAAGAGTTCTCGTGTTTCAAAAATAGAAGCTAAAAACCAGTTGTATTTCATAACATTCGCTTGAGGATGAAATAGAGCTGGTTTCTTCACTTCTGTTTTTGAAACATGAGAACCCTTATGTAACGATGGAATCATATTTTTTTAAATAAAATATATATATATATATATATATATATATATATATATATATATATATTTGGTTGGATTGATGTGAGTTTGTGACCCTGGGTTTCAAGCTTTTGCGATCGTTTGACGATCGCAAAGCTTGAAACCCAGGGTCAAAAATTCTCATCAATCCAACCAAATATGTTAATTCTATCTCTGATATTGAGTGCTTTCTAATAAGTACCTCATATAATATATATATATATATATATATATATATATATATATATATATATATATATATATATATGTATGTATAAAGGGCTTTAAAAAGGGCTCTGGTGAAATAAATTATTATAATGGTACCTTAAAGTGGTCTGTTTTTAAATATTAGCTCTGGATTTACATTGGACTCTCACGATTTCATCCTCCTTGGGATTACCCATACGGATTACCAAGTTCTTCATAACTATATATATATATATATATATATATATGTTTATATTTATATACACACGCCTTTCACACACACACACACACACACACACACACACACACACACACACACACACACACATATATATATATATATATATATATATATAGAAATATTCTTGTAAATAAACAATCTAATAAATAAATCAGGTTTAACATCTTTGTTGTCAGTTCTTGAGAAATAAATAGACAATGCATAAGTCGACTGGTTTTACACTAAATTACATTAAAATTCCAAAACGATAAAATCATCCTTTGCGGGTACGCACTTTAGACTTTGCCGCATCTTCAATGAGTAAACAAGAAAATGGTGAATTGTTATTCACAATCAGGGTAAAACTCCAACAGAAGAAAATGTGAATAAATATCTACAATTCATCTTTTCCATGTTCTTTAACCTCCCGTTAATAGTGTGAAATGTTTGAGCACCACAGAAAATGTTTTTTCCTCAATAATTAGCAAATGGTTAGTTAAGTTTTTCATGATTAATCATGATTAAATTTTTGAATAATCTCTGTAATGTAACTCCAACGAGTTTCTGGTTTTAGTCATAATATTTGCGAGAATTACTGTTTTATTTGTTAAGATAAAAAGTAAACCTATTTTTGCATATTTGACTTTCTTTTTACTTACAAATTATTTTTTTTTAATATTGGCCCTTTAATTTGATTTTTAAAAATAAAAACTTTTAGTTTATTTATCAGTTTTATTCATCCTCAAAAAATATATAAATATGTGCATCATATTGTAATGATTAATTATTTTCCAAAATCTTTTTTCAGATTTTCCCTGTAAGCGTCTCCCCTGTTTGGAGATAGACAGTGGGAACAAAATACCCGAGATGATGTCTATCAGCAGGCATTTGGCCCGTGAATTCGGTAAGATTTTTTTTTAATCATTTCTCCCCAACTAAGGCAATACAGCCACTAAGATGCAAGGGCTTACTGAGTGGTAGAATTAATGCGATAAAAACATTCTAAGAAGAGAGAATGATAAAAAAAAAAAAAGAAAAGAGAAGAATATGAAGCTTAACAAAATCTTTCAATTAATCCATCAGCAGTTGACCTAGACAAAGGGTGGACAACTCCTGGTGTTAGATAATAGTTTCTGCCTATTATTTTTTAGTGGCAGTTTATTTTGCTTAAGACCTTCTGAGGTTGACTTTCGAGGTCACATGTTAGACAAAATAGGAAAGTCGTTTTTGATTGGCTGAGCCGAATATGGTAATGAGTCATAGATTAAGGTTTTTGGAGAGTTGCTGTTTGGACGTCAGGCTAACTAAACGTCTTAGATCGCGTGTGCAAACCACCTCCCTGTTGAGACGTTGAGTGTTTCCCGCGTTCGTGTATTGAAATACGGACAAACACATACGTAGGAAAAAAATACTGGTATATCTGAAGAGGTATTTACAACAGAGAGATTAGTAGTCAAACGAACGCAGGTTAGTCAGTAACAATCAGAAAGAGTATAAAGTCCAACTGTATCTTACGGTAGAGAGACGGAAGTGTGATGGTCACCTGATCTTCCCAGAACTCTATAGAACTGTCCTATTAGTAGTAGAGAGATCAGTTCATTCTGATGAGAAGGTGGGTGCGCCCCAACGCTCCCCCTCCTGTTGAGAAGAGCCTTTCGGAAGTTGGTTGTTTTACGTCAAAGAAAAGCGGTTCTCTAATAGGAGGTGTAGTAGCGCCCACTTGATAGATGTACCCGTCGACGGGGGTTAATGATTAACTGTTTTCGTCTCTGGACCCAAAGAACATTTCCCGTCACCGACCAAAAGAAGAAGAGAATTGAACTAAAACGACCAGTAATCAACGCCTAGACCAGATGGGACCAACAAACACCCTCCCCGCAATGTGGGGTATACAACATTGAGACGCTTGCCAGACATGACCCGCCGATGACTTGTTTCTCGGATGTAAAATTTATTCCCTTTCTGACTTAACTTTCTCCTCTTCCATGTATATGGTTATCTCATGTATGTCGTCTGCCATTTACAATTTGTGCAGAATGTCACGATCATCAGCGAAGAAATGATGTCATTCAAATGAAGAAGATATAAGAGAATTTAAAGAATACTGGATTCAAAATTTTGGCAAGAATAAGAAAGATAATAATGCCTTATGCATTTTCAGTTCCGAAACAATCGTTTGTAGAACTTCTTCTGTAAGGAAACATTTTGAATGTTCATAAGAACTTAACCAATAAATCTGAGGAAGAACAAAGAGAATTAATTTCTCGTGAACTGAGCAAGACAAAAAAAAAAAAAAAAAAAAAACATAACAAACATAACAAGGTAAATACTTTTATGAACTTTATTTCAGATAGGCCTCGTCCCAATTTAGTTCCTGCTAGTTTTGAGGTTTCAAAATATTTTTATTAACACGTGGAGAAAATATGTGTCAGAGAATTGACCAGTTTTGTTAAGCAGGTATGGAAATAGATTTGTTCTTGTTTTTTACTTCTCGGTAATAAGAGGACAATGCGGAAGTTGCACGTTGGATCAGTTATATTAATTTCAATTATAGGTGCAATTTTAATTTATAAATTCATGAATCATTCATACAATAATAATAATAAGTGTGACATTACTGTAATTATTGAACAATATAGTTCATGCCACATTGACGGAAAACCTCCCAGTAAAAAAGAATTCTCTTATTACTATATTTGTACAAAAAAGCACAACCTTAAAATTTAAAATTCAAACTCAGCGTTGCGACTGCACCTTCCAAAACAATAACACATTTCTCATAGCATTTTTTCGGATTACATCTCTATTTTCGTTGTCCTCTTATTACCGAGAAGTAAAAACAAGAACAAATCTATTTCCATACTCGATGATGTCTGTAGGAACAGACGAAAGCTTGTAAAAAATTAAAAACACCTTATGCAACTGGAATTTATAAACAGGGATCATATCATTCATATACAGGTTCGGGGTTGGAGTATCTTATTGAAATTGTTTGCGAATATGTATTCTCGCCATTTAAATCTTTATCTTTAATGTGTTGTACAAATATAGTGATTTAAATCATTAACCTCTATATTTGTTTTTTGTATGAATGATTCATGAATTTATATATATATATATATATATATATATGTTTTACAGATTATGTAATAATGTTTTATAAAATATGTGACAAAGAACTGTTGGAACCGCTAGACAATCTTGATCTACTTGGTGGGGGTATTAGATTAATCCAGACCCAATACTAGCAGCAAACCCCCTCCATATAGATAGAAAATAAATTCACTAAATATTCAAAAACAGAAAAGGGCGTAAGACAAGGATACCTCTTCTCACCGGACTTATTCACCTTTTACAATGAAGCAATCCTGAAAGAGTTATAAGTCCCACCAGGATTTATTATTGGCGGCTACAATCTTAACAACAGCATATATGCAAATAAGATATGCAGAGTTATGATAGCAAACATAGATAGAAAACTAAATGTCTTAGAAAGTTGAGTGGGAAGCAAGATGCCGGAAGAAAGTTCCACAGGCGAGAGAAGCGCGAAAGAAGAAACTGCTAGCATAGAACTTGCGGTTACATCTAGCAATTTCAACTGTAAAATGATGAGACCTTTCCGCCAATCTAGTACTGCGCTTAAATTCTTTAAGTCTAGATAAAATTGAGGAAAGTTAATCAGAACAATTACAATGCAAATATTTATAGAAAGGACTCACAGGAAGCTACGTAACGGCGATGGGAAAATAATTGAAGCTGAGATGCCAGGTCAGGACAATAACATTGCAGACAGACGATCTGTAGATAAATGTAAGATAGATTCTGGAGAAACGCGACGTCCCGAAGCAACCTTCCTAGCAACAGACCTGGTAATTTAATCTTTTTTTTTTTTATCGAGTTCACCACAAGCAAGAGAGTAATGTCACTAAAACACAAGGATTTACTAGATTAGTAGGACAGAAGTGTTCGGGGAACAGTGAACAGTGAATAGTTTGTTCAACTGTCGAACTCTCTGCCTCGGCAGAGAGGTACTCGGACGAGGCTTTGCCGCAGGGTAAAGTTTCGTTCGGTGAGGTAGACAGGCCCTGAACCCGGCTAGGCGGGTTCAAAGGGAATATTTTTAGCCGAGCCTACGGGCTCGGAGAAACTCACGTTAAACTCGGCCTTGTGCCACATACATTTCTTGTTGGGGGACTGTTAAATATAACAGTGAATAGATTGTTCATTACTGTCGAACTCTCAGCCTTGAGCAGATAGAACCCGGAAAGGGCAAAGTTTCGTCCGGGGAGGTAGATTGGCCCTGAACCCACACACGCACGCACACAAACACACACACACACACACACACATATATATATATATATATATATGTGTGTGTGTGTGTGTGTGTGTGTGTGTGTGTGTGTATATAATCTTTAACACCCAAATTTGTTAAAAAGATGAGTTTTGTTATCATTTTTATCCTCCTTTTTTTTTTTTAAATTTCTTTTGTATATAACATTGTTTTCTTTTCTGGACACAAAGTGTGTAAACACTTTCCAAATGTTTTGTCTGTTCGAGCGCTTTGCCGAAGAGCAGAGTTTCGTCCGGGGAGTTTAGCCATTATCAAGGATGATTCTATTTTTACTTTTTTTAACTAAATGTATGGGTTGTATGTATGTATGTCTCTAGAGATATAGGGATGTTTTATTTTTCAAACACGGTCAGTACATTGTGGTCATGTTTGTATTTAATGTCACTGAGTGTTGGCTTTCATTTCATTATTAGGGTTTCCCTTCTTATGCTTCTATTTTCCACTAGTATATATCGGATGGAGTTTGTTAGGCTCGTGTGTGTGCTTAAATGAATTCTATTGGTGCTGTGGTCGGATCGGTGTAACGTAAGTCGTCTGGATAGGCATGTTGTAGTGTGACCGATGTAAAATAGATTAAGAATAATCTAAGCTATAATAATCCTTGAAAATAGCTAACAGGTTCGACGTTAGCCATCGGAAACAACAAATATTTCAACAAGTTTTTACATTGCTCGACATGGTATAATGGTTAGCCAGCTGGTCTCGCTAGATTAACTTTGTGATTTAGATCTTCACTGGGTGCACCATATAGTCACTGTGCTACATCTAAGCCACGCTTAGAAAATCCTCATTAGTCGTAATTGTGCGTATACAAGACAGATAATTAAAAAAAAAACTAAACGAGAGTATCCTCTCTTTTTTGATTGATTGTTTTTTATGTATTATCAACCCATTGCAGGTCATTTAAAGATAGAAAATAATCTTAGATTGTGAGATTATTTTTTTTACATAAAAATACTAAGCGATAGAAGTTTTACTAATTAACCCATAGATGGGGAGAAGTGGTGGATTCATACCTTTCCCAAGGGTATTTACGTATAATTGAATATAACGATCCCGACTGAAATTAGAACTCAGTTTTAGGATTAACAATCCCAAGTCATTATCCCTTACCCTTAAGGCGTCTGGTATTCCCATGCGTTCACCCAAGTAGGTACTGATCAGGCTGGACGTAACCTAACTCCGGTGACCGTATGGTGACTAGTGATTCAACGTGATGTTAACGTAAGCCCTTGGGTATTTTGTTGAACGAAAACTTCAGATATAAATACAATATATCTGTAAAAACACAATAGGAATAAAGACAAATGAAGAATTGTTCTTTACCAACGCGTTTCGTCCTCTGAAAGAAATATTCCTATATATGTATAGAAGTAAAATATATCATTGTTTTAATTTTTCAGTTTAATAACGTTCAAATATATGCCTAAGATTAACTGTGAATGTAAAAAATATGGAGGACGCTAAATCATTTAATTTAATGGCTAATAATTGAAAGTGAGTAAATCTTGTAATTGTTGCTGTTGAATATTTATTCATTTGTTTATATATATATATATAGATAAATAGAGAGATAAGAACAAACTGACACGCATATATATATATATATATATATATATATATATATAGAGAGAGAGAGAGAGATAGATAGATAAATATGAACTGTTTCAAATAAATAGACAGAATGCTATATATATATATATATATATATATATAGAGAGAGAGAGAGATGTTGAGAGAGAAGCGTAAGGGATAGATAGATAGATAGATAGATAGATAATGAACTGTTACAAATAATTAGATAGATAAGAACAAACTGATATATATATATATATATATATATATATATATATATATATATATATATATATATATATATATATTTATATAGATAGATAGATAGATAGACAGATAGACAGATAAAAAAGTTTGAGATAGATAAAGTGTGATAGATTTTTATATTATGTATTAATTTATTCCAAATAATAAAATGTACAAATCATTCTGTATATATATATATATATATATATATATATATATATATATATATATATAGAGAGAGAGAGAGAGAGATAATGAGCAGTTTCAGATAGATAGATATTTTTGGACCATTATATGTAAAATCTTGAACATATTAGAAGCATGAGAAACAGTGGATGATGGCTAGTCCTATTTTCTCCTTTCCAGAAAATCCTGATATGTTATCGGTAAAATAAATTAGCCAAAACCGGTGTCCAAAATTGAGACAGTATTATTTTTACATTTGATTGTCAGCTAAATGAAGTCCCTCACATAACGTTTTATCTCTTACAGGTTTCTATCCGAATAACAACATGGACATGTTCAGGTGCGATTACATCTGCGATTGTTTCTATGAAATGTTTAACGATTATATGAGGTACTTCCATGAGAAGAACGGACGCTTCAGGGTAAGTCAGTTATTTAAAAACTACTCAAGATTTCCTATCTACATAATTCAACTAACTATCTATAGAAGTGGATAAGTAAAGAGGCTACAATGAAATGACCATTAAAACTAAATGACATTAGATAAGTGATGAGTGCTTTTTAAAAAAATGACTGCTTTTATGAAAACATTCACGATTACACGAGGTACCTCCAATTGTACAACGAACGCTTAAGAACGAGATAGTTATTTCGAATCTGTTCAACATTTCATATTTACATCTTTCATCCATAAAAATGGATAAGCAAAGAGGCTATCGTAAAATGATCATTAAGACTAAAAGATATTAGCCGAGTATCGAGTGCTTTGTAAATAATGACTGCATGTATGAAATCATGCACGATTACATGAGGTACTACCACTGGAAGAACGGACGCTTCAGGGTGAGTCATTTATTTCGAATCTGTTCAACATTTCATATCTACATCTTTCAACACACCATCTAAAGAAATGAATAAGCAAAAAGGCTATAGTAAAATGATTATTAAGACTAAAAGTCATTTGCTTAGACTAGTGTCGAGTGATTACTAAATAATGACTGCTTCTATGAAATCATGCACGATTACATGAGGTACTTTCACTGGAAGAATGGACGCTTCAGGGTAAGTCAATTATTTCAAATATGCTCAATATTTCATTTCTATATCTTTTAATACATTATCTATAGAAGCGTATAAGAGGCTATGGTAAAATGATCATTAAGAGTAAAAGACATTAGCAAAGACGAGTGTCGACTGTTTTGTAAATAATGACTGCTTCTATGAAATCATACACGATTACATGAGGTACTTCCAATGGTAGAACGGACACTTCAGGTTGAGTCAGTTATTTCGTATATGCTCAACATTTCATATCTACATCTTTCAACACACTATCTATAGAAATGGATAAGCAACGAGGCTATAGGAAAATGATCATTAAGTCTAAATTTGAGCTATGAGTTGAAATCAAAAATATACTCCCATAGAAGTTCTCATAAAATACAGTAATAACATATTCACCAATTCATTATATATAAAAAAAAAAGCATTAGCAAAAACGCTTGCCACCTTAATTTTTAAAATTTTTAACCAACCCTCAAAGAAAAATAAGTCACAGTGTGTTCTGTTAGGACACATGACTGGCCATTCATACATAAAATAGGGAGTTACTTTTCAAGAAACTTGTATCTACACACACACACACACACACACACACACTCATACACACACATATATATATATATATATATATATAGAGAGAGAGAGAGAGAGAAGTTTTGTCTTAATATTTTAAGTATGTTCTTTTCATATTGTCTGATAAGCTTAATCACATTATCGTTGAAAGACGAAAGAAATGATGACAATTTCAATAAATCAAACACACAGACGAAACCACAATGATAGTCCGCCCTTGCTGCTTGAAAAATTTCAAAGTAACGACAAACTCGTATATACGAGACGCGGAAGCGAAAATCGCGTCGCAGCTCGTGACGTCGCATATAACTACGCGAGTGTGAAAAACGAGAAGTATTAAGTATGTGAAGCCGCTGGTATAAATCAATGTCTTCTGTTATAAATTATAGGCATTTAAGAATATTTGTGGAGATTTCATAGTTTATTTTGTTAATACTTCTCACCAACAGACAGACAGATAGATAGATAGATAGACACTGAGAATTGTACTAAATATATAGTAAATAATACAAAATACTAACATTAACATTAGTATACATTATTATCCACTAATATCGTGAACAGATATTTAGAAATTTATTCTACTATCTTTCATGACAATTTACAAATAATAATAAATTGGAAATAGTGGAGGGCCATGACCGCATAGGTTTTGAAAAGACATAGCATCTAGAACCGTGGAGAAGGCAAATCTCTCTTCTCTTTAATAAGATGTAGCATACACACACACAAACACCACCACACAGATAGATAGATAGATAGATAGATAGATAGATAGATAGATAGAGAGATAGATAGATAGATAGATAGATAGATAGAATGACATATAGATAATGAATAGATAGATAGATAGATAGGATAGATAGATAAATATGAATAGACTGAGTAGATAGACACATAGATACATAGATATGAGCAGAATGAGATAGATAGATAGATAGATACGGAGACTGGTATAGATAGATAGATAGATAGATAGATAGATAGATAGAAAATGAACAGACCTGGATAGATAGATAGATAGATAGATAGATACGGGGATAGATAGATAGAAATGAATAGATGGATAGATAGATAGATAGATAGATAGATAGATAGAAAATAGATAGACACAGGGATAGATAGATAGATAGATAGATAGATAGAATGAAGAGACTGGGACAGACAGACAGACAGATAGATAGATAGATAGATAGATAGATAGATATAGACTATGAGAATTGTACTAAATATGTAGCAAATAATATAAAATAAGAACCCTAATATGACATAGGATTCTTTATTATCCAATCATATTGTGAACATTCTAGTAAACAAGACATGTATTAATTAATGTTTGTATCTGAAAAACCTACTCTATCTCCGGTGTGGTAAGGTTGAAGGAAAGAAAAAGAAGGTATTTCACTCATGTCAATCCCCCTATCTATATTTATTGTCTTTCAAACTTGCATCTTGTACATGGTTACCAGTAAAAAAAAAAAAAGCGGAAAATTCAGAACGGCAGTGACACAACCTTTGAATACTGGTGGTGACTGAAATGATAGAAAAATTCATAAGAATTTCTGAACATTTCGTCAATCACCACGTCGGTTGTTCTTCAATGAAAAGTACGATAGTTGGCGCTCAAAATCAGTCAGTTGTTTTGCCATACGAGAAAGACAGAATGAAAGATGAAAGTTGTCTACAAATAATCTTTAAATGACGAGTCATAAGATCGAACAGTAATTAATCAATCATAAATAATCAATCATTAAATAATTACCCGAAAGTAGAATATTCATTCAAAATTATGAATAGTGAATAAATTTATTCAAGGTTATTCAAGGTCAATTATTTCTGAAAGATAAAACAGTGGTAATAAATTTGCCGCTATTTTTTTTTTTTTACTGGAAACCCAATAAATGAACTTAATCTTTTTTTTTTTTTGTTTTTGTTTTTCTGTTAGCAATTTTCTGATGATGGTATGATGGGAACCGAAATGCAATCCAGAAGTACAATGCAAACCAGAGGAGAAATGGGCGAGGGCTTTGAGGTAATATTTTAAATTTTTTCTTTGGAAATTTCCGTTAATTCTTGTCATAATCGAAAAATTCATTGTTTTCTGTCATAAATATTCTAAAATTCAATGGATAATTCAATTCAGAAAACGTCACGCTTCCTTTAATAATTTTGGAAAAAATCTATATCTCCCCCCCTCCAGCTATGGATATAAATAGATTGGTATCTTTACATGGTGGTCAATCTAGAAGATGAACAGCTCTCAAGATTCCATGCAGAAGGCAAGAGGGAATTACTCCACTATCTTTCCCAAATAATCATGGCAATTCACTGATAAGGCAACTAGAAACCTCTTCACAAAATGAGCCATAGCAAATAAACATAAACAATAGGAAACAGTGGAGAGCCGTGTCCACCTACTACCTGATAGGAAATGATATATAGATCTGTTGAGAAGGCAACGAAAGACCGCTCCACTATCTTTCCCAAGAAGTAAATTTACTGACAATAAAGAAAAGGAACCTGTGGAGAGTCTTGATCACCCACGTTTTGAAGGGAGATGACATTCAGAACCTTGGAGAAGGCAATTGGAAATCTTTCCACAAAATTTCCCACTTAGCCATAGCAATTAATAGCTAATAAATAATAGGAAAACGTGGAGAGCTATGACCGCCTACTCGCTGAACGGACATGTAATTTAGAACTGTAGACAAGGTGACGGGACTGCTCCACTTTCTTCCCGAAGAAGTCAAGGCAATATAGAAATAATAAAAAATAGGAAGTAGTGGAGAGCCATGATCACTTACGTTCTGAAAGGACATAGCATCTAGCAATATGGAGAAGGCAACTAGGAATATCTCCTCAAAATTTCCCAATTAGCCATAGCAATTAAAAGATAATAAACAATAGGAAAACGTGGAGAGCTATGACCGCCTACTGTCTGAGCGGATATGATATTGAGAACTCATGGTAACTCACAGATAAAAAAAAGACGCTGTGGAGAGTCATGATCACCTACGTCCTTCAGGGATATGACATTTAAAAAAATGTTATGTTCTGGTAGTGTGAAATCATCGGCGTAGAAATTGAGCTAGATTTAATTTCCCGCTTTTTGAACTTCATCTATGGATTAAATAGTAAGTTAGTCTGTGCTCGTTTGCCTTGGCTGTTACCCAGTCTAGGAAAATAAATCTGAATTCATATCAGTAAAAAAAGAAATGGGGCAACAATAATTTCACTGTCTTTCCTGTAGAAGTCAAGGTGATTCAAATATGTGAAAGAAAAGGAAGTTGTGGAGATTCATAAACACTTTCGCGCTGAACTGTCATGGTATTAAAATGAGGTTAACAATAAACTCTGATAACACTTTATATGGTTTAAAAGCATGCAGGAAGAAGGTGAGGTCATTTTAAATTAAACTTGTTAAAACTAAACAGTTCGAAATCCAGTCGAGTTCATTACATTCACTCACGTGACAAGACCCATGTGTAAGGTATAAATCCAACTACCACTCCCCCGCTATGGGTAAATATTAAGACAAACTGGATTCTATAGCTTAGGTTTAGGAGAAGGAAAACACTGAATTCAAAACTCTATGTAACCCTAGCGAAGCAGATACTGTAAATCTAAGGTAACGATTGTTAGTATTGACTCGACGATCCTGACTACAGTCGATTCCTTAACAGACTGGGTTCTATAGCCTTCGGTGGCAGCCGGTCTAGAAGATTGAAAACTCTGAATTCAAACTGTATGTAGCCTTAGCGAAGCACATACTATGCAGCTAAGAAAATGATCGTTCGCCATGACTCGATGATCCTGACTACAGTCGACTCCTTAACAAACTGGGTTCAAAAGCCTCGGATGGCAACCGGCCTACAAGAAGGAAAAATCTGAATATAAAACTGTATGTAGCCCTGGCTAAGCATATACTATGCAACTAAGCAGCTAAGCAAAGGATCGTTCGTATTGACTCGACTGGCGATGATATATATATATATATATATATTATATTTATATATATATATATATATATATATATATTTGAATAAAAACAGACCACTTTAAGGTTCCATGTAATACATTATTTCACCACAGCCCTTTTAAAGGGCTCTGGATCATCAGACTTTACTTCCAAAGGATGAAATGAAAATGAAAAGAAATTTACACATTTTGACGGGCCGTATTAACATATGTAAATTAACGAAGTGAGGAAGTGAGGGGAGAGAAGACATGAGTGAGTTAGATGTACCATTTCAATTTTTTATCCCTATCCCTTGGTGTTGGCTAGACAACGCTTAACTTAACGTATGTTATATTTAGATCTCACTCATGTCTTCTTATATATATATATATATATATATATATATATATATATGTTCCTAAAGTCTACCAACTGCGTCTACAAAGGGAATCCAGTAAAAATAGATTTTTGAAGGTCACCTTATTTTCTGAGATTGTGAGATGAAACCATATTTTTCTTTATTTTTGTAGAATTACCTGCAATCTATATTTATGACAAGTTTCAACAGAATCATGCCTTTCTTGGAGAAGACCTTGTGTATGAAAAACAGCGGAAACCAATTCTTCATGGGAGAACAGGTGCGTATCAAATGATTTGCTACTTCAATAATTAAATGCTTCAGTTTTCTTACGGGAATCTTTTACAGTGCATAAAATAATGGTTGGGAAGAAGAGTGCATGCACAAAATAACTGACCAATTGATTTGTCAAGCAAATATAACATATATGAAAACAAAATTAAAATAAAGTGTTAAACAAAAGTTTTTTTTTTTTTTTAGATGTAAATTGAACACAACGAAATGATCATTAATATATTATAATTTGGACTTATTTTGTTGGTGTGTTTTATGTCGAAGCATTTGCAGGCCTTGTAGCTTCAGCGTGGAAAGTTCGTGTCAGTAGTTTGAAAAAAGGGAAAACACAGGAAAAAGAAGAAAGTTACTTTAAGGTTCACGTGTTTGATTTTTTTTTATCTTTCTGATCTTCAGCTTCGAAAATGTCCTCTCACATTGGACTTAAGTAACTGTGTGCAGGTGACTTTATAAAGTTCTTATATATTTTTATTATAAAATGTCTGTATTTTTTTATTTATTGCATTTGTATTTTAAACTAGCATAAAAGCCGCACCCCGTGCATGCTAATAAGTTAGCACCTGCAGAGTGCAAATTGGGTTTCCGGTATAAAAATAAAGGTTCTTCTGGTTAGATAATTTTGTAGAAATAACTTTGAATTCATCACTTCACTCCATGGAACTTCAAAACCTCAGCTTAACTCTGATTTGGAGTATAAAGATCGATTAGGACCTAAATTGCAAATTCAGGACGAAAATTGAGTTCTTGAAATCCCAAACTGTGCAAAGTTTCTCTCCCTTTTAATCTGATTACTTGGTATTTTGAAGAAATAAAACTAATTTCATCAATTCACAAAGTTTTGGAAATTTCTTAAACTGAATTTCAAATACAGATGCAAAGAGTTGATCAGGGATAGAAACCTGAAAAATCAATTAATGAACTTGAAACAGTAGTGATGATGATATTGATGGACATTCGATCAGAAATCTATCTGTATCCCATACAATTTGCATATATATATATATATATATATATATATATATATATATATATATATATATATATATATAGATAACTCGTTTCGAAAAACCCTCGAATTTTTGATTTGCTAATCAAATCAATTTCGATGGAAAAAAGGTTTTAAAAAAGAAAGAGCTACAAACATGATCTTCTGCCGACAAAAAATCGCACAGATGCAGGTCTGAAGCCCAAAGAAAAACCCCGATACGAGTAACAAGTAACTAACAAAAAGACCTCAATACAACCGTAGAGCAGACCTAGACACCTAGTGAGCCAGACAAACCACCTAGGTTTCACTAAACGGATCGTCAGGGAAAGTTTCCTGACGATCCGTTTAGGTGAAACCTAGGTAGGTTTGCTGGCCTCACTAGGTGTATCTTATATATATATATATATATATATATATATATATATATATATATATATATATACTTATCCATCTATCTCACTATGTTCATAATCTATCCCTTCAATCAATCAATCTATCTATCTATCTATCTATCTATCTCAGTCTGTTCAATATGTATCTACATATCTATTTCAGTCTATCTCCAGCACTTCCTTATCTATCTATCTATCTATCTATCTATCTATCTATCTATCTATCTGTTATCTTTTTCTATCTCTGTTCAGTATTTATCTATCTCTGTTCATTATTATTATCTATCTATCTATCCATTTCTATCTAGCCTGTTCATTATCTATCTATCTATCTATCTATCTATCTATCTATCTATCTATCTCTTTTCATTCTGTTAAATATTTATCTGTGTCTGTTCATCTATCTATCTATCTATCTA